ACCGCCCTTCCCTTCCTCTCTCCTCATAGCTTTTATAATGGCCTTCAAAGAAAGGTCTGCACCGATCACCCTTTGCAGTTCCGCCCGCTCACCATCCCATGCCGGGCAGTAGCCCAGTGTGTGTCTTGCCGAATCGTTGAGAGCGTCGCAATACCAACACCTGTTTGTGGGCTCCCTCCCGATCCGACACAGATACCTCCTGAAGCATCCGTGCTCCGAGAGGACCTGTGTGGACCGGAAGGTGAGACCCACCCTAGCCTCCACCCACTCTTTGAGCTGCTCCTTTATGGCTCCCAAAATGGTTTCTCCTTCTTTCTCTATTCGATCAATCCATGATCTCCATTGATTGATCAGTTTCCTTCTTGCCATCTTTTTGATGGTATCGATCTCCTTTCTCTGGATTGGATTATCGGCAGTCCTAGTTTTCCGAATATTGGAGACTCTCTCATAAGTCTTCTCACAGCTGATGGCCTCCAGTTCGAGAGGTGGAATCCCTGCCAGAGCCGTATTTACCGCAAAGGATGTAGTTTTATATGCCTTTATCATACGGCCTGTTATTCTTCTTTGTGTTGCTCGTAGAGTCCTTATAATTTTACCACTCTTCTTCATCTCATACGTCCATATGAGAGCACCATACAATGCCATAGATGTGATCACATTCATATATAGTCTCCTTACCTTGTAGTTTGGATAACCATATATATATATACACATGAGGGTGAGTAGATGCCGGCTACCCACCCTCTCTTACCCTGAGCCCATCTCGTGGGGGCCGTGGACCCCCGTCCATGACCCCATGAGTCTCCCCTCGAAGGGTCAAAGAGAACCTTGACTCGGCCTCCGAGTTCTTCTCCCTACTTATGCTATCTTCATTGAGACCGATGGCCCCGCTAGTCGGTGCCATCGTGAGTCTCCTCCTGTTTGCCCAGAGGGCACGTGGGCCGCGGGGAGGGTAAACTAAATTAAAGATGGAGAAGCCCCCTCCCCGCGGGATCGATGCCCGTCGACCGGACATCTGGCCGACCCGATATTCGGTTCGACCGCCCCACCTAACTCTGCAGGCCAGTCGTCCCTGGGTAATCCTACACACTAAATTCAACTCTTTCCCCCTTAACTGTTCTCCTAACCCTCAACCCCTATTTACTCCAGGGACGCTAATACCCGCGCAAAGGACGCTATCCTTCCCTCGTGGTCGAGTTGGGCTAAGCCCAGTCTCGACCTATTCTCATCTTATCTATATCTATTTCTCTATAATTCCTAATCTACGTAGCGAGGCCTAGATGGCCGGGTTAAATCTCTCTCTGGCCCTCTCTGCCGCCTCCTTCCTAGACATCACCTCCTCACAGAACGTTATGACCGCATGTCTTCCTTCCTCTTGCCTCATTGCCCTTATTATTGCCTTCAAGGATAAGTCTGCACCAATTGTCCTTTGTAGTTCCGCCCGTTCTGTATCCCAGACCGGACAGTAACCCAAGGTGTGTCTCGCAGAGTCATTTGGCGAGTCACAATGCCAGCACCTATTGGAAGTCTCCCTCCCGATCCGACACAGGAACCTCCCGAAGCATCCATGCCCCGAGAGGACCTGCGTCACCCGAGTTTACCCTAACCTAACCTAACCTAACCTCTCTTGAGTACCGATCTATCTTTGAGTTCGAATTTCTACCAAACGGAACGAGCACCTAATTCGGCGACTAAGATATCCTTAAATAATATTAAGAAACAAACATTTTGAGACCAAATTTGTTGGAGCACCTAATTTTTTAAGGCAACTTCTCTCTTGTGAGTTGGTCGCGCAACCTATATTCGAGGTCGAATTTCTGCCAAA